AGTGTCTTATCTTATTCCACCTCAGTGTTTGCACTTGCTACCTGGGCTCTTTAACCTTTGCAGTAAAAAAGGTCATTGACTCTGAACCTCCCTCCCCACAGATTGCCTTCCAAGACTCATTTAGGCTCTTTTTACATAATGTGCAAATGACCTCCATTATTTTCAGTACCAGCATCTGTAAAGTGGGATCATTGTATATGAGACAATATCTGGGGGGAGTTAGTGACAGGCAGGCTTTGGAATAATAACCTTTGCTCACCCCATCACCAGTCACACTCTTTGCTTCTATATGAAGGCTGATTTTTTTTTTAAAGCAATGTATTCTTTACTAGTTCTTACAGGACGAATGATAGATATTAGGATAAAATAACATAATACTGGACACTAAAGGGAGTAAATCAATGTAAGCCCTGGCTCGTGCACAGACCTCCAAATTTTAGCATGAAATTTCATCTTTTGGCACGGCAGTCTCTGTTCTGCCCTGGAAAGGGCTCATGGGTGGTCATTTGGTGACCACTTTCATAGCCTGTGATCCATGCTGAGGTGGGAAGCCCACCCGGAGAACTCCTAGAGTCCTGAGAGGGGGAGGTCAGTAACCGGTCCCCTCTACACTTGCTATTCTCTCGGCCCAAAAAATGCCATCCTCTATTCTCCCTTCTCCACATTCTCTGCGAGGCCAACCCTGTGCCTCCCTGTGCTTCTAACACTCCTTAGAAATCTCTGCTAAGGCACGTACAACATTACATTTTAATTTTCTCTTACAGGACAGTGTGCCTCGCTGGGGATAAAGTCCTCCAGGGCAGAGAACGTGTCTTAGCTTTGTCTGCATTTCTGGTACTTAACGTTATGCCTGGGTTTGGTTAAGGGCTCAGAAATGCTTACTGAAGAAATGGAAGACTTTTTAGATAAAAGAGTTGCTTAAGCTGTGGTGCCCATACTAAGCAGCATAGTCTTCTGGGTCTGCTCTAAAATATTCCGATTCAGGAAGAAGAGAAGCCACTGCTGAGCCTTGCTTTAAACCAGTCCTCTGGGTGAATGCTGTGTGCACCCAAGTCCAGGAACCTCTTGACTAAACCACAGAATGCACAAAACTGGGTCTCTGCTTTGGTTTTTGGTCCTTATAGTCCCTACATCTGGCACAGGGCTTGACATGAAGAAGGAAGTGTGTGTGTGTGTGTGTGTGTGTGTGTGTGTGTGTGCGTGCGCATGCGCGCACACACGTGCACATGAGTGCGCGCACACTCACGTGCACATATATGAGATACAAAAGAATGAACTGAATAATGATTGAAGGACTACATGAAAAGGTAAGATGAGCCTGTAACAGTGTTCCTCAGATCACTAAATAACTGAGTTTCACTTAGCATGTCACATGTTCACTTATCCTCTCTTAACACATAAAGACACGAAGACAGGTGGATAGCCAGCCTGTAAACACTGCTTTATACATAGCTGCCCCTACCCTGTCTTTGTAGACTTGGAAGGAGAAAGACATTTGAATCAATGATCTAATCACCACCCCCAAATAATGATGTGTGAGGAATGTTCTTACAAAGATACCAAACTCTCACTTTGGCCGGCAGGAGTCAGGATCTCTGTCCATCTGTCCTGCACCCCTTGCCCTGTATTCACCACTCTCCCCTTAGACTGCCTGTTGCTGAAACTTCTAGCAGGGACAGCCTATACATTTCCTCTCCCTTCCTTTCTCCACCCTCTGGTGGAGGGATAATGAATAGCAAAATGCATCAAAACCAAAACTGAATGGTCACATTGAAACGATAAACACTTGTTCATTTTCTGAAGTCAAAACTGAATGGGGCATTAGTTTTAGGTAACAGCTACTTCATATTTCAGAAGACACACAATGTTAAATCTGAATAACATACTTTACTTAGTTCCCCATGTCTGATGAATTAACCCATTTTGCAAGAACTACTATCTCTTTTTGATGGTTTTTATTCAGTTCAAACTGGGAGAGATGTACAGTTTTCCATACGGATGAGCCACACAAACATAGTCACAAAGAGTTCCATAGCTTCCTGTGAAAGTAGCAGAAAGGAACTAAAATGCTGCTGCTTCCCCAGCTTTCCCCCATTCTCTCTGATCTTGGAGCTACAGAAACTGAAGGTCTAAGTATAAATGGCGTTATTGCTTCTTAGATAGCTTTTTCATGTCCCTTTTTGGGTGTAATCTAATAAGAACAAATGTCTTATTCTCTCTGTGTTCTGATGTCCACCTTGGTTTGTGGCTTGAAGAAACATCAAAAGAACAGCCAGACTCACGAAGCAGAAATAAGTAACCATCTATGTGCTAATATACGGCAGGCATTAAGTCCAACACCAAAGAGCTACTGCCCATAATGGGCAACCTTGCCTATGTCATGATCCCAATGACCATCCAGCAGCTCTCTGCAAGACCAGGCCTGAAGTTGTGATGAAAACAGATAAGAAACACCACTTCTTGCTTTTGAACATTTCCTCCTCATTATATCTTTATATCTTAACACTTAGTATCTTGACTTTTCAACCCCGTGTGTTGACAGTTCATGTGCCACTTATTCATTCTTATCTCTTGCCCTTGTTGGGCAGTGAGCCCCTTTGAAAGTTTGGCCAAAGCAATGAAAACTTGGGCCTCTTCTCTAAAGATACCCCCCCCCCACACACACACCTTGAGTGCTGGTACCAACGAAGGCCAGAGAAGGGTGTCAGGTTTGCAACATCTGGAGTTACAGGCAGTTGTAAGCCACTAGATGTAGGTTCTGGGAACTGAAATTGTTCCTCTGCTAGAGTAGTTCATGCTCTTAACTGCTGAGTCTTCTCTCCAGACCCAAAAGGCATCTTCACACTTGCTTAAGCATACAAGTAGTTTAGGTGGTGTAGATGTACTGAAGTCCCACTAAAAAACCTTCCCCTTGTAGACCTTCTGTAAGCCACAGGAAAGGAACGAGAGGTTAGCCAATAGCTAAATACCTGCTCTGCACTGTTCTCAATTCTTTTCTGGGATGTTTGTGCAGAACTACATCCCAAAGCCTCGATGTTAGCTCCTTTTCTTCCACACCATAAGGGCGATTGTTGGTTTTGACAACAAGCTCACTAGTTGGATTTGACAACAATACTACCTAGGGCATTAGTGAGGCACACCTATGGGAATGTCTGAGAGCATTAACTGAGTGGGGAAGGCCCACCCTGATTGTAGGAAGCAGCACTATTCATGGCCTGCGGTAATAGGCTAAATAAAAAGAGAAAACCACCAGAACCCTAACATCCCCCTTTCTCTGCTTCCTGAGCAAACGATCTCAGGCTCCTACTTTCCAGTCATTGCTGTCAGGAGGGACTGTGTCCTCAAACCCTTCACACCTCAAGTTTCTTCTTGTCAGGTATTTGGTCAATCAGCTAATGCAGTAAATAACACACCAGACAAGATCTTCCACCTGGCTTTACCAGGATGCAAAGTAGCTACATTATTTATTATTATTATTATTATTAGCCACTCCTTTGCAAGGTCACTGCCATAGCTTGGAACTCAAGTTTATCTCTTGCCTCATCAGATCACCCTCTGTTACTTTAGGTAAGTATCTAAGGTATCTTAAGGATAGGTGACTCTGTTTATCAGCAGCAGCAGAAATGTGAACTTGAGGGTAGAAGGTGGCCACAAGACCACTGTTGATTTCTCCATTGACCTTGTGAAGGTTCCATAACTGCTCCACCTTTGGCTCCTGTCTCAAAGAGGATGATAGCAGTTCTCTGCAAAGCTCCATCAAAGATTTAAATAGACAGTCCCCCAAAGCAGCTAGTTCCACAAGGTCTGTATCCCACAATCAATGAATGACAACAAATACCACAAACATGTCTATTACGCACTTATGAAAACCCTCTAGTAAATGGTAATTCCTGGAACTCATATCAACATTATCCTGTGTATGATCTTAGAGGCAGAGAAAATCCTGAATTCTTATATGGAGACTTCAAAGTCTCACTAGCATCAATCACCGAGAGGGAGGCCCCATAAGGCAAAGTAGGGGACAGATGAAAGCCACAAAGACACATCCTTGCCTTCAACCATTAGCTAGGCAGAGGTCATAAAGCCAGTGGTGGCTCACAAAGCCTGTGCCAACTTAGTCCAGTCTGGGGTCCATTATTATTCTCCACCATTCTAGAAGCTTACACTTTCTTGCCACACATTTCCACTAGAGCCTAGTTCCCAGAGGGACAATGTCTCTCTTGATTATTTTTTAGACTTTCATCTGACACAGAGTGACAGCTATACAACACCCCCCCATACACCCAGATTTACTTGTTAGGTTCCAGTGCCAGCCGCATTTGCTCAACACATTTTATAATGCTGTCGCCCCAGATGTCCCCACTGTACCTACCCCTTGTTATTCTGCAGATGACTTGTATTCTGTTTGATGCTCCAAGGTCATCTCTAAAACTGTAGACTTTTCAGATCCTTCTCTTTATAGCCTACAACCTGCCTTAAGCAGGCAGCCACTTGACACATCTTTGGAAATTACTAGCCACTACATTTCAATAATTATTATCCACTTTGTCCAAAGAGGACATGCTTTACATACACCCATGCCTATAACACATAGGCACACCTTTGTTCTTCTAACTGGAAATGGCTGAGGCATGTTTAATCCCATTGTCTTCAAGTCAGAACCATTCCTTCTCCATCTCTCAGCAGTTGCTTATTTGTGAAACTCCTCAATCAAGAGGCTCCAGTGGAGTAAGCCAGAAGCAGCCAATCCAAGAACCCACCTGGCTGGCATTTAAAACTCACTGATGATGAAAAAGCACACCCATTCCACAAAACAGAAGGGCCAAAATATAGACTGTGGGAATCACTTAAAAGGCTCCGGAAATTTCCCTTGAAGAGCCTTCTCTCACGAAGACAAATGAGGACTGGAGTCATTTTTGCAACAACAACACCTACCCACGGGCCCTCCCATCACAGGTCTAGCGCAGAAAGACATGTCAGAAATAGCAGCCGTTACTTACATCGGTAAGTCATCTCGAAGCTGTCACTGATGTTCACAATATCGATCTGGGGAAGCAGCTTGGGGGGCTCTGTGAGTTGTGACAAAGCAAACCTAAAAGCTGCATGTTCCTGCGATTGTTGGTTTGGAAATAATCCCCCTGTAAGGAAAGAAAAGGCAATGCAGTAAGTCTGGGGTAGAGACAGGTCTCACTTGCTAAGTAGCCCATCACAGAGGGCCTAGGTCTCTGCCATGCAAATCCAGAGCTATGGCCATAGCTTTTCCCATAAGGAATCCAAATGGACTCAACTGGATGCCAAACCTTACACTCTATGGATAGCTTCTATGATAGGACCCCTAACACCCATCACTCTGTCCCAACATATGGCTGTGTGCTCCTTGCTCAGCAAATGGCAGAGAACACAGGAGACCTATAGAATTTTACTTTTTGTCTTCCCATTTCTGCCAGATCTCCACGAGCCTCTGTTTACACACACACACACACACACACACACACACACACACACACACACCCCTTCCCTGCATTTATTTCATCTTATTTGGATCCCATTTCTTAATCACAAAGGCTTTAGTTACAAGGAAGCATTGCAAATGACAGAAATCAAGGCCTGGGATCCCTTGGGCTTTTAAACCACTGTAACTATTTGTTTTGAGACTTGGCCAGATCTGCAAGCAGTGTAAGTAGCCCATTGCCTTCAAAGTTTATTATTTATTTTCTCTGAGAACTCTGGGTTTTGTCTTTCATTGCTCATGTTCCCAGATACCTAGGAATGTCTGGTTACATAAGGGGTTGTCACTGTGCTCTGCAGATGTGGGGGGTCTTAAAAGTGCCAACATCTTCCAGTAAACCGCACAGGGAAAGTACCAGTCAGGGTTTTGTTCCAAGACACAAGGACACAGGGCTTTCCTTTGTAATCCTGTGGATGTGCAAATGAATCGAAATACATTCCTGTAAATTGAAATCAGCTATTGCTAGGGGCTGAACTGCAACAAATGTGTACACAGAAGTTTATCTCAGATTGGCCAGGAATTTGCAGTTCCAGTAATGTAATGATAACTTCCTGTGCTGTAGATGCATGGTTGGCTTTAAGAACAAACTATGGACCTTGAGGCTTGCGTTAGCGATCATGAAAGTGGAATTGATGACAACCTCACGCAGGCGGTAATTTCAGCATTTGTTCTACTGGTCTCCCTTGTGTTTGAAAAGAGCAACAGTTACTGGGACTGAATGTGAAATATCTGCAGGAATGCGTGGGCAAATGTGGGTGTGCCCACATAAACACCCACCCCAAGCCTTTACACCACAATGATGGTCTACAAACACGCCTGCAGAAGGCAGGCCACATTTTCCTTGATGAGAAATTACAGTTGGCAAAGCACAGACAGAAGGTAAGAACAAACATGAGAATTGCCATAGGTCGGCACAGGTGACTTGCACGCACACTTTTACCCCCATTTTCAAAAGCAAAAACAAACTAGCAAAAAAAACTAAAAAAAAAAATTAGTCTTGCTAGGGATGCTCCATTCTCTCCTCCCAGGTGACCACACCCCACACTCCTCTGGTCCTGGTTTTCTACTCTTTACAGTGAATGGAAGGGAGCAGGTGGGAGGTGGGAGGGAGCAGTTACAGGCTGGGCCACAAGAGAAGTGTCTCAGGGATGGGACGCAGGAAGTTTGCCTGTAAGACAGGAGCTCATGCACGCATATGCATGTACACACTTCAGAAGAGAGCTTAACAGGTGTCAGGAAACAAAGTAAGTTACTCCACAGCCACCCCAACAGTACCAGGAGTCAGGAAGCTGAAAATGCCCAAAGAGGCTATTAGCAACACGTGTGTGTGCCCACTGCACCATCATCCGTCCCTCAAACACAAACACTCTCACAAAAGCAGTAGTTGCTGAGATGGGACTCTCCTAATAAGTCAGCCCCTGGTGCGGGGAGGAAGCAGAAATCACAGTAGCCTGGCTAATGTTGGATCACAAAAGATACTGAGCTACTGGTCACCCTGACCCCAAGCCCTGTTACTGGTACTGTTGCTTCATTTGTCTGGCTTTCCCCCATGGGTACAGGAACAGCAATACCTGTCAGCTCCTACATCAATACAAGTATAGCCACCAAATGAAGAGAAATGGGGTACAGAAAGGTATGCAGTGTGTTGAAACCCACCTGCAGATTGTGAGGATGGAACCCAGGCATGGGGACTGCTGCTGGGGCCAGTGTGTGTGTGTGTGTGTGTGTGTGTGTGTGTGTGTGTGTGTAGGGGAACCTGTGCATGTGTGGGTGCTCAGAGCACTGGTGACAGTATCTGTGGACAGAGCACTAAAGAGGAAGGGGCAAGGATGAGAGAAAAGGCAGGCTTGGAAGTTCCAGGATCAGAGAATGGGGGATAGAGCCCAGCATGGCAGAAAGCAAAACAAATCCAGCTACAGGGGTCCACAGAGCTCTGGCCACAGAGTGGGGCCTGGGACGTTTCTCAGCAGAGATAGCCACCCTAGTACCCTGTACTCCTTCTCTGTTGAGGGGTCTTTTCCCCTCCCCCAGCCAGGACATCGCTGCTATCCCCATCACTCTGGCTATATATGCACATTTAACATATAATCAGAACACACATACGCCCACCATACATATTTATATAAATCAAGGAGAGCAGTCACCATCCACCTAGCCAGAGTTAACTCCTTATACACTCTGAGCCCTGTTGGAAGCGCAGGCTGATCATGTTTTTCCCTCACTGGAACGGAGAGGCTCCTCCATTTCAGGCGCTCATGCTCGGAGTGTGCGGGTGTATGTGCACCTGTGTGTGTGCTCACACACACACACACACACACACACACACACACACACACACACACACACGGGAGAGAACACTTCCCTTTTGCCCCTTGCTATATTGATGCATCGGGTGAGGATGAATCCCCTTTCCCCCCCTGGCAATCCAAGTCTTTAGATCACCAAGCACAAAAGCTCTGGATGAGAATGGGTTGAGAAATCTCCCCTCAAAAAAAAAAAAAAAAAAAAAAAAAAAAAATCACTGGCCAGATCCCCAAAGTCCCTCCCCAGCTGCCCCCCTCACTCACCTATCTGGATATTGTTGGGGAAATTGGCACCCACAACCGCACCTAGAAAACCGGTGCAGAAAAAGGCAAAGATGTACGGCATATTCCTTTTTACATTGGCGAAAAAGAAGCCCTGGTCCAACCATAGATTTTGGTCTTCCCTCCCCTTCCTTTGATTCTTCTTGCTGCTCTGCCGGCTCTTTTCCTTCTGCAGTTGCAGTTCTTTGCTTGCTTCTTTCCTTCTTCCTTTCCCTCTACAAGGTTTCTCTTGTTTCTCTCGGAAGGGGAGCCGAGCAGTTAAACTGCAGCGTTAACACCGACTGACAGCCAGATTAACTGAGCCGGGAGCAGCCGGTCCTCATGCTTGGAGCGCTAGATTGCTTGCTCCCCCTCTCCCTCTGCTCTCCTCCTCTTCTCTAGCAGCCAGCCTCTCACCCTCCCATTCTCCGTTCTCTCTCTCTCTCTCTCTCTCTCTCTCTCTCTCTCTCTCTCTCTCTCTCTCTCTCTCTCTCTCTCTCACTCACACACACACACACACACACAAGCTGCTAGCTCTTTATGCTGATACCCAGGAGCCAGCTCCTGTATTGGCATCCCCTACACACCACCCTTGCCTCTCTATCCTCACCTTCCTTTCTGTGGATGCAGAGGATGGAGGGGGATGGAGGGTCGGGGTGCTTTTCCCTAAAGGGGCAACTTACTGTACTCTTTACCTCCCCCACCTTCCTCTGCTCTCCCAGCCCCTCCCCTAGCCAGGGGATAAGATGCTATGAGGAATGTGGGTTCAGTTGCGAGTCAGTAGGTGGCAGGGGGTCCCCACAATAGCCCTGGTTTCACCAGCTGCTTCATCTAGGTCACTTTTTCTAGTAGTGCACGGGTTGTGCTGGGTATATCTTCTACACTCCACTGGCCCAATTATTCCTACAACTAATTCCCAAGGGGGAGACCCTAGAAATCCCTCTCCAGAAATTTAAAGAGAAGACTTGGAGAAAGACAAACAACAGTAGCTTCAGCATGACTGGACCAGGGTGCTTGGACCAGGATGCCATCAGACCCTTCCACCTTTAGAATTGCATGGGTGGCCTCTTTGAAGCCCTAGCTGTTTGAAGTCTCCCCCCCCCCCCCACACACACACATTTTTCTTGCAGGGCACAGGAATCTTTAATGGCAGAGTTGTGTGGGTGGGTGAACAAGGAAGATTCAGGGTACGCACGTACACAGGGCAATTACATGAGTCATTTTGCGTTGATTCCAGTCAGAGGACTCAAGTTGCCTTCACTTACATCTGCACATTGTTTATGTCCAGTGGAAGCTGGGCCTCTATGGACCATGTGGAACTACATTTGGCTCTGAGATGCCCCAGAGAGAATAGTGAGCACAGGACTATAGGGTGAGTTATGGGACAGCTGTCAATAACAGCTGAGGCTGTTTAGAGTCATCTATCTGTCCTCACACTCAGAAGTGGCCATGGGTCCTGGGATTCAGTAGTGATGACACCCAGTGAGGTCTTGAACTTTAAATATGTTTTGCTACATTTTTAAGTGTGTGTGTGTGTGTGTGTGTGTGTGTGTGTGTGTGTGTCAGGACACAGGAGTAGAGGTCAGAGGACAACCTGTGAGATTTTGTTCTTTTCTTTTATCATGTGGGACCAGGGATTAAGCTCAGGTCATCAGGCTGGGGAGCAGGTGCCTTTACTGGGTTAAGCCTTCTCAATTGCTCTGGATCTGTGAACCTAATGTCTCTGGCTGTAACCAGCTGAGAGGCTTGCCCAGCACAGAGCCTTGCTGGAAAAGCAGGCTGTACTTGTCCACAAGTTGGAAGAAGCAAAAGGCTCTGGACTAGGTTTTTTTTTTTTTTTTTTTTTTTTGCTGCTGGAATAGCACATCTTATCTAGAGAATCTGAATGTCCTTCACCAGCACTGCACCATCACACCCTGGGATTGTGACATGCTCAACATAAACCCTAAAGTAGGAGCAATGCGGATGTCAGATACCTGTGCTTTTTTATGCCTTTTAAAACACATTGGATAGTTCAAGTGTCTCTAACACCAATGCTTAGCCATCATTTACCTTGTAGCAGAGAGCTCACTAAGCTCTGCTTGGGGTGTGCTTGTGCAACAAGTCCTGTGGAAAGTGAGCTCCCTCCCTCCCATCTACTTATAAAAAACCTAAGGTTCAGTGATTTTCTCAAGTCTTTTCTTCTGGCATGGGAAAGATGCTATGTGAACACAGGGAACTCATATCTGAGTTAAGGATTCCACCCTTTGGCCCTGGGCAGGAACATTCTGGTGTGAGCATCAGTTAGGGAAATTATGAGGCCAGGCTCCAGAGAGATGACTTCTACAGTCCTGGTCAAGATTAAGAGACCACGATTGAATGAATCCATGTTAAAATTCTTCCATGGGCTTTTTTGCTTCTTTATTTTATTTTATTTTTTTTTCTTTTGTCTCTTACTATTTTGAATGGTACCTGGGGATCTTTCAAGCTCTCTGAGCTTTGTGCCTTGTAATAATAATAATTAGGCTGTCACTAAAGACTTCATACATTGTCACCTTTCAGAAGATCTCAAAGCCCTTTACAAGGATTAATTAGTAAAATCGCATCACCCACTTGGAGTTGGAAATAATTGTTTGGCTTGGGGGTGTGATTAAAGGAGTCCAAAAGATGCATTTTCTATGATCTTCATAAATCATGTAATAAGACAGGGTTTCCAGGACACAGCTTTATAGTCGGCCCTCCATAGGTATGATCAAGAGTGTCCATGGCTTATTAAATAGATATCTGTTCAATGGAACTGATAGAACTTAAGTTTGGACATTGATGTTCACATAGAGGTTCAACTGGTCATCACATTTCTCTTCAAATTAAATGATAGAGGGATTCTTCTGTATATCCACACAGGGCTTGTTGCTTGGGAACACAGAAAGGGACTAGGCAGAGCCTCTGCCTCAAAGAGGTGAGTGAATGTGGTGAATGGCAGATGACTTTGTCCAACTGCCATCTAATACAAATGAGGACAAAGGCTCTGATGCAAATGCCACAGTAGGGAGGAATGAGAGGCCACTGTATCTGTTAATATAAGACTGCAGCATGGCCTCAAAGACCTGGGGAAGAAGACTTGTGGGCAGAGACTAAACATGCAAAGGAAGAGAGGACAGTCTGCTGGAGGCAGAGAGGAGACGGTGCCCTATGACCCTGGAGCCCATGCCAGGGTTGCAAAGAAATAGTAGAGAACAGGGACAGGAAAGCAGAAGAGGTGAGTCTGGGGACCTGGACTATGGAACAACACAGAGAGGTGAGAACAGGACACAGAAACTGGTCAGGTGGGGCAAGGTCCCCCAAACCAGCAGTTTTGATTGTCCTTGCTGGAGGCCAGGAACACCAGAACAACATTCTGGTTCCAGAGTCTTTGTTATGTCTCAAAGGAACACCTGTTCCAGAGGCTGTGTATGACTTCAAAACTGAAACTGAGATGGGGCACCAGGACACTTGCATCAGCCAATTGGGCTGACTGTAGAGGCAACTTGTTTGGACAATAGATTTGAGGTACCCCTCTTACCATGCAAGAGATCCCCATCCCATCCAACTCTCTCTCTCCCCCTTCCTCCCTCTTAAACTCCTACCTATGAATCATAGATAAACTTCTAGAATTTACCCTATGGTCCATGGATTTCACTCTTCTGATGCATGAGACAAGAACTCCTAAAGTCACCACTGGCTCAAGCAACTTTTTTTTAAATTATTTGTTTTCCTTTTTTTAAATTTAAATTTGAAACAAGGTTCTTTTACATGTTAATCCCAGTTCCCTCACCCTCCCATCCTCCCCAGCAATCCCCAGCCTATCCCCTTTCTGCTCCCCAGGGAGGGTGAGGCCTTCCATGGAGAGTCTTCAAAGTTTGGCTCAAACAACTTTGGTAGCTCTCAAGTTTACAAGACCCTGGCTCCCTGAGAAAAGCTTTATTGTTCTCAGTGGCAGCCCAGTATTCCTGTATCAGAGTCATGAAGGAATTTTAAGGATAACAACAATATCAGGTGTGTGTGTGTGTGTGTGTGTGTGTGTGTTTAAGAAGAGACTCAAAAGATGACATACCACATGAATTGATTTCCCTAAACCATCCTTTCCTGAGCCATGCTCTGTCCACAATCCTAGTCCCTACTTCTATTAGCAATGCCAGTATGAGACTCGAAAGATGGCTTCACAGACAACTAGGATTAATGGTGGTCATGCCCTACAGATACAAGACACACTATGTGCAAGCTGGGAGGACTTAGTGTGGCTAGATGGCCTGCTTGAAACTATGGTTCCCCACTGGGAGGAATGTTCTCCCTGAGTGGTATTTGGCAGTGTCTGGAGATATTTTTGGTTTTCACAACTGGGGAAGTGCTATTGGTATGAGTGGCTAGAAGCCAGGGATCCTGCCAAACTTTGTGGAATACATAAGGCAGCCTCTTCAGCAACAATGATGTGTGATCTGGCTCAGGGCACACACAGTACTAAGACAGTGTGGGTACCGTGTGTATGCATGGTGCCCAATGAAGCTAGAAGAGGGTATCAGATCCCCTTAGAGAGGCAGGAGGATCCTGCAGACTCATTAGCCAGTCAGCTAGATAGTAAGTGAACTCGTGGTTTAGTGAAGACTCTACCTCAGAAAATAAGGTGGAGAGCCCCTGAGGAAGGCACCATTGAACTCCATAGGTGCCCACACAGACATTTGTGTCCCCTACTCATTCACATAAATACATAGGCAGAAAGAAGTGTGGATTTGGGGGTTTTCAAAAAAAATGATTAGATATACCATTTTATGCAAAGGCCAGGAAAAAATGTGAGGTACAATGTGTGCTAAGTAGGTGTCTCTGGGCTCAATCTGACCCAAAGTCCACTCAGTATCTGTAAACAAGATTTTTAAGCTCCCATTCTCTACTATTTGGGGAACCAAGTCCATTTGTTTTCTGGGTCTTTCTATACTCATCAGTGAAGTGGTTAGCTGAGGCTCTGCCCTGGTCTACTGGGACCTGTAACCCACTGGCCAGTGTGGGCCTGGGTGGTGTCAGGAGGGCCTGTCTCTCCTCTACTTCCTATTACCTGTCACAGAGGTATGCAGGCTCCTTCCCTCCCTCCCTAGGCTCAGCCTCTATCTCTAGAACACCAGGCTTATTCTAGTTTCCCTATCTTGTGTTTCCAGTGTGCAGCCATTCAAGGAAGGGGTAGGGGCATCATCAAATATATATTCTGAGAACAAACTGCTGACAGAAACAAATCATCAAGGAAGCAATCAGAGAGAGGGTACCCCTGTGGCTTTAGGAAAGCCTTGTTTACATAGATGTTAAAAAATAATAGTGATAATATTTTCCATGTTTTCTAGCACATTTCATACCGAAAGATCCCAAAATACTCCACAGACTGTGTGTCAAGAGCACACCCTGCAGAATGTAACTCCCCGCTCTGGAGCTCTGCCA